TGGGGGATTCTAGGCAGGGGCTCTACCACTGAGCCACACCTCCAGCCCCTCACTGGGGGATTCTAGGCAGGGGCTCTACCACTGAGCCACACCCCCAGCCCCTCACTGGGGGATTCTAGGAAGGGGCTCTACCGCAGAGCCACACCCCAGCCCCTCACTGGGAGTTCTAGGCAGGGGCTCTACCACTGAGCCACACCCCAGCCCCTCACTGGGGATTCTAGACAGGGGCTCTGCCACTGAGCCACACCCCCAGCCCCACACTGGGGGATTCTAGACAGGGGCTCTACCACTGAACCACACCCCAGCCCCTCACTGGGGGATTCTGTGGGCCCCGTGGGCCCTGGCCCCTGACTGTGAGTGGCTGCCTCCTTGCTTGCTGACCTTGACCAGATGTCCTCCCTATTCAGATTCCCTGCCAGTCTCCTTCTCACCTAAGGATCATCGGAGAGCTCACCGGAGGTTCTTTGTTCCTGTATCCTGTATTTTGGTGTAAACAACTTAGGTGCAAGAATGTAGAACACTGGGTCTAGAATGTAGACCATTGGTATCAAACTTCTGCCCTCCGGGGATCCTCCATTTGTGTTGTAAGCCTGTATTTAAGGTTTCTTCCCTCTTTCAATAAAGGGCATTTGGCATTCAGCATTCAGCCATGGCGAATGACTCGCTGTCTCTTGTCTCTATTTTTAATCCACAGCCCTTCGCTCGGACATGGTGAACGGGTATCGGTAATGCGGGTGTTACCGCTACAGGATTCTAGGCAGGGGCTCTACCACTGAACCACACCCCCAGCCCCTCACTGGGGGATTCTAGGCAGGGGCTCTACCACTGAGCCACACCTCCAGCCCCTCACTGGGGGATTCTAGGCAGAGGCTCTACCACTGAGCCACACCCCCAGCACCTTAATGGGGGATTCTAGGCAGGGGCTCTACCACTGAGCCACACCCCCAGCACCTTAATGGGGGATCCAGAAGGAAGAAATGTAGAGGGATATGGGAAGGAAAGAAGAGAAAAAGGGAAAGATGAGTGGCTGGAGAAACAGGAGAGCTAGCAAGAGCGCTGCTGGGTAAGCATGAGGACCAAGCTCCAATCCTCTCTCCTCTCCTATTTGAGGCAGAGCTTCCTATTTTCCCCAGGTTATCTTTGAACTCAGGATCCTCCACACTCAGCCTCACCGACCTGGGATTACAGGCGTGCACTGCCATGCCCGGCCCCTGGAGCATTTACAGAGACACTAAGGAAGAGAGGCTTGTTGGGTAAGAGAGTACTGAATATGTATCATCGCACTGCTTTCCCCAGGAGGCTGCTGACAGTTTCTCTCCACTAGGAATGTGTTGGAGCCTCCTCACCCCTACCCCGATGAGGGTGTCACCAATTCTTTTGTTTTTGTTTTGTTTTTTGTTTTACCTTTTAGAGCTTTATTAGGAGAAGGAGAGAGAGAGGGAGAGAACCAATTCTTAAATGTATGGATATAAAGAGGTCAACAGTATCTTTTTGTACTTTTTTTTTAAGAGGAAGAGAAGAGGTCTCATGTAGTCCAGGCTGGCCTCAAAACTTACTATGTCAATGTGGATGCCCTTAAGTCCATGATCCTCTCTCCACCTCCCCCGTACTAGGATTATAGACATATACCCCTACTTTGGGCTAAGTTGGCTTTTCTCTGTTTGTTTGGGTGAGTTGTTTTTTGTTTTGTTGTTGTTGTTTGGGTTTTGGGTTTTTGTTTTTTTCTGAGACAGGGTTTCTCTGTGTAACCCTGGCTGTCCTGGAACTCTCCCTGGAGGGCCAGGCTGGCCCTAAACACAGAGATCCACCTGCCTCTTCCTCCTGAGTGCTGGAGTTAAGGCCACTACAGTTGAGGCTCTGGGTTCAATACCTAGAACCATAAAAACAAAAAAAAATTAAAAATTTTCTATTCTTGTACCCTGAAGAGATTTCAAGAGTCTGGACTTCTCTTGGCGAGGACCTGGGTTTGAGTCCCAGCATCTACAGTTGGTGGCTCACAACCTTCTGTAACTCCAGATCCAGGTGACCAATGCTCTAGCTTTGGCAGGCATCCACACTCACACACACATACCCACAAACAGAAATACCCACATACAGGCACATACACATCACCAAAAGAAAAACTTAACTGCCAGGTATAGTGGTGACACATGCCTTTAATCCCAACACTTGGGAGGCAGAGGCAGGCGGATCTCTGTGAGATAGAGAGTTCCAGGACAGCCAGGGCTATAGAGAGACATCCTGTTTCAAAAAAAAAAAAGTTTTAATTCATTGATTAATCAGTTATTTTGAAACAAGCCTGATATATATGACATGATCCAGGCTTGTCAGGGCTACACAATGAGACCCTGTCTCAAAAAAAAACACCACAACAGTTAATTCAATTTTTTCAAATGTCTACTGTTAACTGTGTGTGGCGGCTCACTATTTTGTGTCTTTTAGACCTCATCACACATTATCAGTTGCACATGTGTGAGATGGGGGGGGTTCAACTCTGTTTCTGAACAGCCGGCCCTTGGCCTAGGCATCATTTATAATATAGTTTGAGCTGGTTTTAACTTTCTGCCCTTCACTCGTTATCAGGGTGACCTTGGGACTGGACAGTTTTTGGCAGAGATGACTATTTCCTTCTTGAAATGTTTACTTCCCTTAGCTTCGGTCACTGGACACTGTCCTGGATTTCCTTCTGCTTTTGTCTCTCCCCCCCTCCCCCCACCCCCACCCCCCGACCACTCCCAAAGACATAATAAAGATCAGGAGTTCAGGGTTAGCCTCAACCAGTCAGCAAATGTACAGTCAGGTTGGGCTGCCTGAGATTCTGCCTCATTCCAGGGGATGGAAGTACCATCTGCCTGTCACTCTTGTTGCCTCTCCGCTTATACCCAGCACCCCAGATGATGCTCAGCACATAACAAGTACTCAGCAGTTACTGGATGGTTGAAATGATGTACAGTCCACCACCAAGTCATGTGGCTCTTCCCTATTAGCTGTGTGTGTGTGTGTGTGTGTGTGTGTGTGTGTGTGTGTGTGCAAATGATTAAGAGACCAGATCCCCTGGAGCTAGTTACCGGCAGTGTGAGCCCCTGACATGTGTGCTGAGAGCAGACTCAGGCCCTCTGAAAGAACAGTATATGTTCTTAACCACTGAGCCGTCTCTCCAGCCCCTCTTAACATTATCTTACTCACTGAACCACTTCTGTTATTAGTATTGCTCTTACCTCCACCCTGTACTACTTCCTTCCATCTGGACTACGTTCTCTCTTCAGTAGTCTCCCAGCACGAACTCCAGCACTGTCAGACAAAGATCTCAGATCTCATCAGGCCTTTTCTGACGGTCATTCCCAACATTAACAATGTTCTTTAGTCGCTTATGCAGACCCAACACCTCACCATTCATGACAGCATGTGCTTCCCTTTTTCCAGCTGAGTCCGATCACCCGCAAGACCCTTACCTTCTTGCTACATATGAACATTCTGAACATACAGGACCTACTCTGTTCCCATGGGGACCATGTAGAAGTGCCAAAGAGAAGAACCTCGAGAAATCAAGAGCTTGGAACCTTAGCTTTAAGATTACAAAGCAGAACTTAGGGGTGTGGCTCAGTGGTAGAGCCTCTGCCTAGAATCCCCCAGTGAGGGACTGGGGGTGTGGCTCAGTGGTAGAGCCCCTGCCTAGAATCCCCCAGTGAGGGGCTAGGGTGTTGCTCAGTGGTAGAGCCCCTGCCTAGAATCCCCCAGTGAGGGGCTAGGGTGTGGCTCAGTGATAGAGCCCCTGCCTAGAATCCCCCAGTGAGGGGCTGGGGTGTGGCTCAGTGGTAAAGTGCTTTACTTTTCATGTCCAGGCCCTGAGTTCCATCTGCAGCATGACAAGAAGTATTTATTATTTATTTACTATTTTGCAAGGCAAACATAGATTTATTGAAGAAAAGAAAGACCCCTGGAGAATGAGAGGCTCCATGGGAGGACTACCCAAAATCATTTAAAGTGGAAGCACAGAGGACAGGAAGGCCATCGATCTGCCCTGATTCCCCCGTGTGCTGTGGAGAGGCATGGGAACAGAGCCCAGGCAGGACAGAAGCCCCAGGAAAGCTCTCCATGTGACCTGAATGAAGCCACTGTGACCCTCTGTACCCAGAGTCCTTACTCTCCAGAGTGGAATGCTATGGTCACCCATGCAAACCTCAGACCACACCTCAGACAGGAGCTAACCTGAGTGAGCAGTGGGGACACTCATGACACTATGTGCCTGACATCCAAGGCCTAAAACCTGGCCCATTCATACAATTCCTGATCAACTCTGGGGGTCAGAAACCTCACTACGATATCCATATTGGAGTTGGACAAACAGGCACAGAGAGGTTAAGTCATTGGTGTGGGCTCACACCGCAGAAAAGGGCTGGAGTGCAAGCGGCGTGGCTCTGATTGA